ACTTTTAAGATGTCTAAGCATATAGTTTGGGCTCGATCAGGTGACCCTGAATCATCCCTTAGTTACTTTGCAAAAAGGCCTAGGCTTCCCATGATGCAGCATGTTGAGTTTTTCTTCACTCACCCTTTTTACTCCATGTGTTTATAAACTTCTCTGCATTTAATCATTAGTTATTATTAATCTTTTCCACAGCATCTTTGTCCTGTCTTCCTCGAATTACCTCCAACCAGTCATAGCATATGGCCGCCCCTCCCTGAGCCAGGTTCTGCTGGAGTTTTCTTCCTGTTAAAAGAGAGTTTTTCTTTCCCATTGTCGCCAAAGTGCTTTCTCATTGCAGACTGTCTGATCATTGGGATTTATTTTACAGTATAATGTACCTTGATGTGATTGTTGCTGTGATTTTGCACGTTATAAATAAATAAAGAACTGAACTGAACTGAATGTTCACAAGAGGTCTCTGTAGACCTTGAATTGGCATCCACAGCTCGCAGCTTACAGGTTGCTAATAGTATGGCATAAAGATTGCAAAACTAGCAACAGTTACAGAGCAAAAAAAATAGTCAAAAATTAGTGCTTTGACTAATTTTTAATACATCTGGGTAGAATTATTGCAGAACAGTATGTGTGCTGCAATTAAACTAATACTTAAACATGATCTTACTAATATAATATCAGGGTTACAGTAAATATTCTTTCTTAATGAGAGATATATTCTCAACATTTGAAACTACTTGTGACCATGATCATGCTAATTAAACTTGCAAAGGAAATAACACCTACAGACTGATTATGGGATAACTCAGTCACAAGAAACTGCATTACATCTGAGACGCTCTGCAATCGCTTTGTTAGGAATACCAACAGCGTGTGCTGAGCGCATGGCCAGTGATGCAGAGGTCCTTTGGGTCTGCTTGATTATTGTGTTTATACCTCCCAAGTCAGAGCAGGGACATTTGTGCACTATAGTCACACTAGGCAAAATAATGTGACTGTGTGGTGGTGCATACAAAGTCTTGAATAATCAGGCCCCATCTTACCTTAAAGACCTCATAGTACTGTATCACCTATATCAAAGCAACATCAACACGGATGGCAGGACCCAAGCAGAACATTGCTCAAAGCATCACACTGCCGCTGTTGGCTTGCCTTCTTCCCATAGTGTATCCTGGTGCCAGGTTTTCCATCGGTAAGGGATACACATGGACCTGGCCATCCACTTACAAGAAAGCATGATTAATCAGACCAGGGCACCTTCTTCCATTGCTCCATGGTCCAGTTCTGATGTAAGCATGCCC